GAGCTCTTCAGCTGTCTGCAAATGGATAATTATTTTAGAAATTATGAATCGTTTATGATTGATTTATTAGTATGTTTGTGTTTTATGAACTGCTTCGATAGTTGCGAAACTATTTTATAAAATGAGTGTTTTAAATTGAAATTAATTGAATTAAGACTTTGAAAATATTGACTAGGCAATTTAGATATATATTTTATTTCCATTTAATGGATTTTAATCTTTTTCTGGAATTGTATACATATTGTAGCATTAATAGAATGCTTAAATATAACAGCATGTTTTAGTTACAAATTAACATTTTAAATATGTATGATCAGAGTATTTGGACTAAGCATTAACATGAATTACCAAAATGCTTTAATCCAAAATTACCATTAAAAACTTATACAATAACTGAATATTTTGATTGCAATTTAAAATTAACAGTTTAAGCATTTGTAGAATTTTTTTTATCTTCACATAATGTTCTGATTCCTAAATCGCTAACAGAATATTATGGCTCAACATTAACATTAACATTTTAAATCAATTTAACAGAATATGTGACTCTACATAAACATAATTATGTTAGTCATTGTAACTAACATTATATTTAATATTAAAAATAATATTAACATTTTAAATGTTAATAGAATATTTTCACAGAGAATTAAATAAACATTTACGACAGTAACAGAATATTTTAATTCAATATTCGCATTAATATTTAAAATATTAATATTTTGAATCAACATTAACATTAGCATTTCAAAAGTCAACAATAACATTAGCATCTTAGCCATTAAAGCAATATTTGAATTTGAAATCTTTTTCTTTGTCTTAATTCAAGCATAAGTCCTTGTATAAATTCAGTTCATTTAACAAAATATTTAGATTTTGTCGCCTGTGCGGGCTTTTGCATATGCATTCCCATAAATTTGTCGGAGTTTCTCTTCGAGTTCGAGTGCTTCGGCTGGCTTCATCTCTATAGAGCGTTGCCCCACCCTACCTTCCGTGCCCTCCCTCTCCCTCGCACACTTTCAGCTGTATTTGAATATTTAATTTTTTAGCATGCAGCGCACATTTCGCACTTCTAAACTGATGCTAAACGTTCGTCGCTGCCTGCATTTCCGCCAGCTTCGCCCTGTGCTCCCGTCTGGATTTTCCAGGATTGTCGTGTGAATGTTTTGTGTGTGCGTGTGTGTGTGTGTGTCTGTGAGCTGTGTGTGTGTTTTATTAAGCAAACAAAATGTTTTCTCTGCTAAATGGGCAGCAGCAGTCCCTTTCCGTTTCGCGCTCTCCCCCTCTCTTTCTCTCTCGCGTTGATTGTGAGTTCAATGCGCTCCACAAGCTTTTCAAAGTTACTAAATAAAGAAAAAAAAAAACACTCCAAATTGGCTTTTCCGATGTCATCTTTGCAATTTGGTTTGTTTTTTCGCTCGTCGCGTCGCAAGCCATAATTAATATCATTTTTGGCACAACGTGGGCTGACATGCCACGCCCCTGCCTTCCACCAGCTGTCGCCCACCATCCATTTGCAGCAGAGGCGCCATTTTTGGTCCTCTCCTTCCTTTGCCTAACTGTCTTTGGGCAGGCTGTCACTTATAATTAAATGAATTTCACTTTCATAAATTTCACTTTGACAGCGACAAAGCAAAAGGCAGTTCGGCATTTATCACGCAACAATTACCTGGCCTTAAATATATAATTGAGTCGTCATAGAGCCAAATATTTCCGTCGTTAATATTCATTCCTTTCGCTGAGCAGCAAAGCTTCCATGGTAAATGCTCAAAATGTTCATACAATATTATGAGTTTGAAATGGGTTTTCATGTGTTCTTGGTGTGGGAGATTCTACTGCACTTGCTTGGAAATTGAAATAGATGTTAATGGTTAAGCCAGTTCCTAATGGAGCTATAAGAGCTATTAATTTTGTAATATGTATAAAATTTAATATTCGCATTAGAGCTAAGAAGCTTAGTTGTATGTTTTAAATTTCTAAATCACACTTTTATGGTATTTAATTCTCGTAAAAGAAAGACCAATCGTCGATAGATAATGTCTGCTGATAATAGAACAGGGATTTTGTTCATATAGCTATACAGGAGACCTGCCTAATTTATTATCATTATTATTATCTTTATTTTATTATAATTATTTTAATTTTGTTATTAAAATTTTTCTTTTTTTGTTATTATTTTAATATAATTTTGTCTTTTATTATTATTTTAATTTTATTAATACTATTGTATTATTATTATTATTTTAATTTTATTAATATTATCTGCTTATTAAAATTATTTAATTGTCATCATTATAGTTCTTTTAATATTATAATTTATTATTATTATTTTTATTTTGTTTTTATTATTTATTTAATTGTCATCATTATAATTTTTTTAATATTATAATTTATTATTTATTATTATTTTTTTTTTATTTTTTTTAATTTTTTTTTTTATTATTTTTAGTGTTTTTTTTTATTTTTTGTATTATTATTATTATTTTTATTTGTTTATTTTATTATTATTAATTAAATTTTTTTTTTAAATTTTTATTACCATATTTGAGCCTCTAGAGAATCTATTACATAAATCATCTTTCTCTCTGCAAATTTCCAGTCTCTTTTAAATAGCCTTTATAGCCAAATTAAATAGCCTTTATTGATTTTAATTTATTGTCAACCAACTTCCTTTGCCAACTCCAGCTTCTCTTATATAATTTGAAGCTACATGCACTGCACTTTAGATGGATAGCTCTCAGCTTAGCTATATTCGTCTCGTTGTTGCAGTTGTTGTTGTTGTTGTGCTCAAACGCACTTTAACAAATTTTCTATGCGAAATTCCATTATCCCTTTGACATTTTGCAGTTGAGTTAGCGACCTAGTTTGCCATACAGCGTAAATATCTCCAGACTTTCTTTTTTTTTTGCTGCTGCTCTGTGTGCAAAATAACCCCAAAGAGCGCTAAAGAAGTTGAAACAAATAGAAAAAAAAAATTGCTGCATGACATTATTGCCAGTCAGCTGTTGTTGTTGTTGTTGTTGTTGTTGCTGTCGCTGTCCAATGTTCGTTACGTGCAATGTCACCCACCTACACACACAAATACTCACTCACACACACACTTCCGCTCTGGTTGCATTGTTCATTTAAATTCTAATTTGTATTTGCCGCACTCGACAATGAGAGAGTCGAGGACAGCAGGACCTGGGGACATGGTGAGCACGCTTCCTGCCAGCGGGCACTTGGACAGGTACAAGGGTTGCTTCGCTTCAGCTCTTTGGCCTACCCCCCTCGCCATTCCCCCTCGCCTCCAGCATTAAGCCACGTGCCCAATAATGTCCTTGAAACTTTTGGGGCGTGTCCCAGCGATTTGTTATTGTTGCCTTAGTTAGGTGCTGCAATCCTAATCGCGTTTTTTGGTGACGCTTTGCATAGCCCACTCAATTGGCGCTTTTAATGACTCCAGCTAGATGCGAAGCAGAAGAAGACGTGTAAATGGTGGCCATTGAACAATGGAACGCCAAGGCCGCAGGAGCCCCAGCAAAGTGTCATTCGCTTGCTACATTACCAACGAAACGATTAGAAATCATTTGTAGTGGCTCGATAAGCACAACTTTTCACAGGTGTCGGGAAATGGCCGCTTGACGTCCTTTAATGGGGCTGTGAATGAACCGGAATCGAACATGACTAATTAGTAGCTTAAAATGAAATTTTGTTGCTTTCATATGGGTCAATTCGCTGAATTTGTCGAATGATTCATATTTGGTTGGTACTTCTGATACAGACCACATAAAATAAGAATATTTTTCGATAGTTTTATAACTAGTATCACTTTCATTTAATCTGACTGATTAGCGGGTATAGCAGCATTTAGTCAGACAGATTAGATTATATAGAAGCGAGCAAATGATTCATAGACTAATGAGTAGGTTAAATAAGCTGATTAGGACTGTTTATGTATAACTTGTGAAAGCAATACAATAATCTTTATTTAAAAGTTTGCATATCTTATAATTAATTGCTATAAAGTGTAAGTATTTAAAGTAATGTATAATATTTTCATTGATTTTAATTTTGTACTTTTATGGTTTTTATTTGTTTACAATTTTATTCTGTTTATTTTTGTATATTTGCTTTGACAAAAAATGTAGTAAAATAATTACGGCTAAAGTTTAATACTTTGTTTTAGCATCAAATAAATTAGTAAATATTTTTTTAATGCTTATTATACTATTAAATTAATCAAAATCTTGAGTATGCTTGAATTTTATTTAAAAATGAAATACTAATATAATATAATAATAAAAATAATAATATAATAAATAAAATAATTTATTAAAATAATAAAATAATCAATATATTAATTTATAAAGTTAAAAAAAAAAAAAAAAAAAAAAAACAATCAAACTAGGCAATAATTTTTTTATGATCATGTGTTTTCATTAAGCAAGAGCCTTCGCTTCTTTTCGTGTTTCTAATGAGTGCCTTGAGTTTAAATAATTTTCAAATACACACCAACACATACAAAAGTTTTTTTTGCCTCTCAAAGACCCGAGAAACCCCAGAGAGAGAGAAAAAAGGTTTCTGCCCGATCGCGAACGAAGTCGTTGAACCGAAGCAATTGGTTGCTCTCTGAGTTTTTTCTCAAAGTGGGAATGAAACACAATTTGCAGACAGACGAGAAACGGTCAACAATTGTAATTTTCACTATTCATTCACTTTTCATAGATCAGTTTTTTCAAACATATTTCTATTATATTTTGCTAATAAATCAATATTTAATTAATTAAATTCATTTTATTCTATTATCAAGCTCAGTATAATTTTATCAAAATATTTGTTTTACTGAAAGTGACTTTCAAATTCATTTTAAAAATATATCGACTTATGTTTTTATGAAATTTATTTTATATATCTCTAAAAAATAGATAATCATTTTTATTAAATGTAGAAAGCAGAGTTTAAAGTAAAATTAAATTTAAAATTTGTTGGGGTTATAGAATAAAAATATTACAAATTTATTATTAAGCAATAAATTAAATCCACAAGTTGAGCCATTTGAAATTTTTATTTATCTCTTATTAAATTCCTGCTTTGCTTAAAGTAATTGTGGCTTTGTCAGAAGTTTTTCAGTGAATCGAAATGGATGGCATTCATTCGACGAAATGGAGGAAAATTGGTTTCCCGCTGTGTGCTGCATGCTTTTCCTCTACTTTCATTCACTCTGCCTTGTGCTTACATTTTCCATTGCCATTCGCTCTGGCCAGTTTGGCTCTTAATTCAGCTGTTGTCGCCATTGCTTTAGGTACTTAATTAAAAACCGCATTTGTTGCATTTCTTTTTTTTTTTGTTATTGTCGTTGTTGTGTGTGTGTGTGTGTGTATTTTTTCCTTCTACTATTTTAGCTGTTTTGTGAAGAGAAGAAGTGGCCTTGCGGCCGTCTCTGGGAATGTTAAAGCTTAGAATGTCTTATGGCTGTCTTTTGTTCTGGTTTGTCACTGGAATTTATAGCAGGTTTAACCCACTTTTAGCTGCGCTTGTGTGTTGGGGTGTCTTTTTTTTTTTTTGTATTTTTGGGGTCAACTTGAAGGCAGTTCAAAGCTTTAAATTGGTTGTCAAATGAAACGAAGGAATGTGATAAGTGCCAACGACTTGCAGGGGCGGGAAAGAGCTTGGGATATTTTACAATAATTAAAGTGCATTCGGCATAACGAACAGCAACGCGATAATGAAGTTGCATTTGCATTGCGTGCGCTCGGTCCAATGACTTCAGCCAGTCCCAAATGAAATTGTTTTGTTGCGCAAAGTATTTGCGTGTGTGTGTGTGTGTGGGTGTGTTAAACTCTTGCGTTTACTCAGGCCTTTTAAAAACTATGTTAACAGCTAGGCAATTAAAACGCTTAACTGACGCTTTGGCTATGCTTTGGTTACTGCTCCGCTGCTCCGCTTGCTACTGGGCTACACCTCCTCGATAGGATTATCGCTAAACTTGACGGATCCGCGCTGTCGCAGATTGGCCCGCTGTCTTTTGTACTCGCTGCGCTGCTTCTTCGAGGGCTGCACCGCCTGGTCGAAGGCCACCGCACTGGGTCCAATGGGACTGGTCAGATAGCTGCCGCCGTGCTGCACCTCCGCTGGCCATTTGTCGCCATGCATGGCCTCCACCAAGGCCGCCTCCATCTCGGCGTCGCGCTCCTGCTGATTGCTCTGACGCTGCTGCTCCTGGAGGCGTGCGCGTAGGCTGCTCATCGCAAAGCTAATATTGGATTGGGCTTGGCTGTTCTGCGGCTCGGCGAGAACCAGCTCTTTGTGGTGCTTCGGTCGGGCTTTACTGCTGCTACTGCTGCTGCTGCTGCTGCTGCTGCTGCTGCTGCTGCTGCTGCTGCTGCTGCTGCTGCTGGGCCTTGCGTTGGCTGCGGCGGCCTCGCGCTCGCGATACTTTTTCAGAAACGCTGGCGGATAATTGGGCACCTCGGTGGTTGTGGTGGTCGGTGGTGCAAGGCTGTTGCCACGACTACGAGGACGGTGCGCGTGGCTGCCGCTGTGGCTGTGCTGGCTGTTGGCATGGCTGTCGGGCGGGCTGTTGGAGTGACTGCTTGGCTGGCTGTGGGAGTGACTGCTCGAGTGACTGCTTGGCTGGCTATTGGCCTGCTCGCTTGGCTGGCTGTGATACAGCTTGGAGGGCACAAAGCCGCCCTCCATGGGCGTCAGCGATTGCACCTCGCCGCTTGCCTCGCCCGTGTGCTCGGTCACCTCGTATTGATGGCCGCCTGGCGGCTTGGCTAGCTCATTTTCATTATCGTCATCGACTTGCTCGAAATCGTCGTCCTCCTCGTCCAGCTCTGGACGTCGGCCCACCAGTTTCTCGGGCTTGGGCAGCATTTCGCCAGGAGGCGTATTGTCCTTGTTGTCGCGACTGGACGTAATTTGTGTGTGCAGCTGTGTCATGGCCTGAGGACGCAGCGTGACATAAGACGTGGGCTGTTCACCCGACTTGTAGACTGGCTTCCAGCTCTGGTATTCCATAATCTTGCCAGAGACAATCTCGTTGCTGTTGGTGCGCGGCTTGTGCTTAAAATATTTATCCATGAGCGCCTCATCGCTGCTAGCGGGCACTTTGCCCTCAGCAATCAGCTCCTGCTCCTTCTCCAGCTGCCGCATGCGATTCTCGTACTGCAGCTTCGTCGACTCTGTGACCATGGGCTTCGGCTTGGGCAGTGGCCTTATCAGCTTCACCACCTTCTTCGGCGAGCCACGCATCTTGATTATCTTCACTGGCTTGTTCGTATGCGGATCTCGGATGATGTACTTGACGCGCGTCGTCTCCGTTGGCATATAGTCCATCATGTTTTTGCCGTAGCTCGCTGTGCTGGGCATAAAGTCACCGAACATGGTCCTCATTATCCGTGCCCCACCGAACATGCGGCCCATAAGGCCGCCCATGTCCATTTGCTGCCACATGAAACGTCTTTGAATTCTGCAAATAAATGGAAGGCATGTTTAGAGTTTTCATTTTTAATTTTCTTAGTTTTATTTGATTTATTTATTAATCTTTTTTTTTCTATTATAGTTGATAGTTCTATGTTTGCTCTCAGAGTTTTCTCTCCTTCCTCATCTCACCTTATCTCTGTGCTTGGCATTGATTTATTTATTTATTAAATATCTGAGTTTGCTCTTAGAGTTTTTCCTGAATCATTTTATATGGAAAACTCTTTTGATTTGATTGCTCAGTGCTGTATAATTGTGTTAATTATATTCTTTATTTTTCACTTTTTAGATTAGAGTTTTGTATTTAAACTTGAGTATTTCATTTATATTCTTTTTTTTTTTTTGTTATTTAAAATGTTAATTCAAATTTAATGTTTTTATTCAAATAAAATTTGAATTTACGTTTTATTTATTAATATTATTTACTATTATTATTATCTATTATTATTTTATGGAGTTTATAGTTTAGATTTGATTTTTTTTAATTTAACACCGAGTTTTAAACTGCACTAAATTTGCATTAAAATTAAAATTTTTATATTTAAATGTGAGTTTTCATTCAATTTTTTTTTTTTTTTACTTTTAACATAAGTTTTTGCAATGATGTTTTACTTTAATTTTACTTAACTATGAATTTTTTATTTAAGTTAGATAATTTTTAACTTAATGTTTTTTTTAATTTTTTTTTTTTTTCCACTTTAATTACTAACTTTATTTAAACTTGAATATTTTTTAAAATTTTAATCACAATTCAAATGTGAACTTCCTATTTAGATTTGCATTAGGCTTTTCATTTGCATTAAATTGAATTGAATCTTGCTACGTTTTCTTCTTAAAAACCTTGGCAAACCGAAGCAATAATTCTCATTTTATTTTCTATACTTGATAATCACTTCCTGGTCACTTCACTTACCTGTGATCTTCCGCCTGTTGCTCGCCGCTCACCAGCTGCAGCAGCAGCAGCAGCAGTAACGAAATGCAGCATCCGGAGATCTGTAAGCCAGGGCGGGGCTTGAATGGCATTTGCATTGAATTGGTTTCTGGCTTACTTACGCAATGCTTCCTCATGTCGAGAGTAGTTGGGTCTGTGCTCAGGTATTCCAAGTTAGAGCTGCTCTATTCGCTGTACGCTGGCAATCGTCGTCAGTTGCCTTGCGATCGCCACTATTGACTGCCGGCGCCTGCGCGCCAAGCACATGATTTTATACACTTCACACGATCTCGTGGCAAGCGCTGCAGTTGCTCCAATTATGAAGCGCAGCGGCGGCCTGCGCTTGGCATTGGCATTTCACTTTCGGCTAAACAATGAATGGTTCGCACTCTTTCTCACTCTCCCTCTCTCTCCCTCTCGCACACACTCCTGTTAACAGCACGTCCCCCGCCTCCTGCTATGCATCATTCATGTGGCCGCCTTTCGTCGAACAATTAGTTCCATTAGTTTCTGGCTGGTTTTGTGGTTTTTACAACATATTTTTTGTTGTTGTAATTTATATATTTTTTGTTGTTTATTGTTTTCTTTGTTATTGGCTTTTCCTTCCTTTAGCTGGTTGTTTCCGTATGCATTTTATTTTCTTGCTGGCTGATTTTTGCACCTGCCCTGGCGTGCAGCACTTGAGCATGGTTAAAATATTTATTAAATTTCGTTAAATCACTGAACACAAGATTGCAACATACTCAATACGCGATTCGTGCCCAATTATGAGTTCATATTTATTAATGAGGAGGAGAGGCTTTTCTTTTTGCATCGTTTTACTTACTCTTTTCATTTTTTTTTTTTTTTTTTTTTTGCGCTATTTTTATTAATTAACGGCTCATCGGCAATTGTATCATAAAATTGATGGGCAGCAGCAGCGCCATCTGGCGAGCGAAACGTGCACTGGCCGGCCAATCGGCAAATGAGTCTGGTCCATGGGCTTTGGGCAAATGACTTTGTGGCGTGCGGTGCCAGATAGCAATCAATAATAATGATGATGACGATGATGATGATAGTAATGATGATACTGATGATGGTATAAGTAATGTTGATGACTGTGATGATTATGAAGTTGATGGCGTTCAAGTATTTTGTTTGCACATTGTGCATCCACTTGATGATTGTTGTTTGCACTGGAAATGCGACAGGTGGCGCCACTTGGCAAACGCTTTAGAATGGCTCGTTGTGTGTGTGTGTCGTTGACGTCTATTTGACTGTAATGAGATCTATTTGCCATGACATTTAATAACAAATACAAATTGCATGTGAAGCGTGCATTTTGATTTTATTTGAGTTGCACTCAGCATGTTTAATATTCAGAATGTAAGTGAATAAATATTCTAGTAAATTTATTTAATTGCATTCTCTGCGTGAGGTTTAATGCAAATGTTTTTAAATAAATATTATCAGCTTATTTAAAGGCTTGTTAATTAAAATTCATGCAGAGAATACAATCAAATACACAAAGAAAATCAATTAAATTACAATAAGCATAAAACAAATAAATTTATTTTTATTTCAAATAAATATTAGCAATTTAATTGAAAGAGTTTTCAGTAAATATCTTGCAGAGAATTTAATTAAATATAGGTATATAGTAAAATATATTAATAAATAAATATAGGTATATAAATTCAGTGTATTGAATTATTTTAGAAAAATAATGACGAACGAAGAACTTAAGAGTAGAGGTTTCAATAACTCTTACAAATAATCATTTATAGATATTTATATGCATATATATTTGTATATATATTTATACGCATATTTCTATAAACATATACACTCATTAACTCATAGGTCAAGGCTCTTATCGGAGCCTAAAGCGATTGTAATTCCCTTATCCCCACATAAGGTTGAAAACTTGCTAGACGCACTGATTAAACAGAGTTTAAGTAGAACACAATGAAAACTAATTTGCACGCAAATGCACTTTAGCACACACACACACACACACACACACACAAGTACCGCCCTTTGTGTGGGGGTTGGCCTATGTGTGTGAGTGTTTGTAGGCGTTTGCGTATTTGTCAAGAGCCTGTGCAGGATACAAATATTGCGCATACGCCGCGTGGCTGCACTCAATACCATTCTGTTGTCAATATAATGTATTTAAAATGCCATTTGTGTAAATGGATTATGTAATCGATGCATTTGCCATTGGATGTGCTCTTATGTGCGTGTGTGACCTCATATGTACACACACACAAACACACACACATTCATATATACTAAATGCATATTTGTATTATTGCTGGCAAGCATGGTTGGCTGATAACGATACGCAGTTGTTGCTGTTGCTGTTGCTGCTGCTGCTACTGCTGCTTCAACATTGGCATTCAGCTCGGCGCTGGTAGTCGTCGCGCTCGATATGTATATAAGTAAAAGCAAATTGATGCCTTAAGCCAAATATAAACACAATAAAACCAAACAAGCCGCAACAACAATGAGCAACAGCAGTCAGAGGGCGCCAAGTTACAAGTTGCTAGCAGAAAGGCACTTCCCCAGTCGGTTGTTGCTCAGCAGGGGGCGAGGGGTGAGGGGCGAGGGGCGGGTAGGGCTGTTGGAGAATCCTAGGCCAGGCCACTGACGCAAAGGCAGTCAAGTCAGGCAGTTAGTCAAGCGTAAGGCAGCAGGCGGCTAACTGCAAATTGTATGAGCTCAAATTTGCCTGTAAGCCAGCCCAGCCAGCCAACCAGCCAGGCAGCCCAGCCAGCGAGCCGGCAGCCAACGAGACGTAAGAACCGATGTCGACCCAAAGCCGGCAGCAGGCAGCAGGCAGGAGGAGCCTCAACAGAGCGCTGCAAATTGTATCTAAAATGTTGATAACATCGCATTTGTGGCACAGATTTCGCCTCACTTACTCAGCTGCCTATCGCAGCGCACACAAAGGCTGAGCATTGGCTACAATAACATTGACAACATTGGCAGCCGGGCAACATGCAGCTAGTCAGGCAGCCTGACAATGCGGATCGATGTGCTCTGGGCTGGCACTGGGGCATGTGATATTTGAGTTATGCGAAATGCAGCCTCTGTTGACTGTTGACCATTTGAATGTTGCAACAACGTTGGGATTTGCATTTCAGGTTTTTTTGAATTTGCTGTGACAGCCGTCGCTTAATAAATATGTGCAGCGAGGGCTGCGCGTATACTTGTGTGGCAATAGTTTTGCTTGCGTAAAGTAAAAAAAGTAAAAGATGCGGAAAAAATGTATTATTATTAAATAAATTGATGAAATTATATACTCGTATGTGTTTTTGATTTGAATTTTTTATTTAAGAAAAAGATGAAATTTCGTAAAGAGGTTTACTGCTTATTTTTGTATTATTTTTCAAGCAACGTGTTTCAATTGGCTTATAAATATTTTATTATTTTTATTATTAATTTTGCATTTTTGTTAATTTATTATTCTTTGTGTTTTATTTAATTGTATTCTTGTATTATTCATTTATTATTTTTTGGTATTTTATTATTATATTGGTATTTTATTTTATTTCATTTATTTGTTTTAATTTTATCCTTTTTATTTTAATTATTAATTTATTTTTGTCATTTTTTTATAATTTATTTTATTAATATTATTTTTTTTTTCTTTAATTTAAATGATGAATTTGCATTATATCTAATTTTATTTTAAATAAATTTTTGCTCTTTTTCTTAAAAAAACAAGTAAGAAAGCTCTAGTCGAGACTGCTCGACTACGAGATCCCCTGAACCCTTGGAGCAATAGATATTTCAATACTTTTTCGCGACTTTCAGCTTACACAAGAAAAACACACACACACACACACACGCACGTACGCACACACAGGTATACATACACACCCAAGCATACACACACACATACACACACACACGCATACAGACACAAACGCATACACACACACACATACACACACACATACACATACAAGCAACCATGCATAAACACGCATGGGCTGCAGTGTGCGCTTACTATGAGAACTTAATTGTTTAATAACTTTTTTTATGGACGTACGATCTTCATGAAACTTTTAGATTATGATTATAACATGAATATGCATGTAATTGCCAAAGCACAAGTCTCTAGTATTTGAAATACGCTTTTTACAAAAGTGAGGGTGAGGGGGTGAATTTAGAGGTGGGGGGTAAATTTTAACAAAAACCGAAATTGTATAAATTGCATATAAGCATACATTAAAAATTTGGAGACTCTAGCAATAATGGTGTAGAAGATATAATTTTATAACTGGGTTTCGATAAGCTTTTTTATCGATAAAAAAAGATCGAGATGAGTTATCGATTTTTAATGATAAACTTGATATGCGCGCTGTAATTACGGACATTTTAAAAAAAATTTGAAGTCTCTAGCTCTTATATCTTCTGAAATCGACGCGTTCATACATACGGACAGACGGACAGACGGACAGACGGACAGACAGACGGACAGGGCCAAATCAACTCAGCTCGTCACCCTGATCAAGAATATATATACTTTGTGGGGTCTGCCACGCCTCCTTCTCCCTGTTACATACATTTCAACAAAACCATTATACCCTGATTTCCCATTGAAAATGGGTTCAGGGTATAACAAAAGCAATAAAGAGTTATGGATCTGTTGGCTGATGGAAAGATATCCTATACGAAATTGACCTAGGGTTGAGTTGGTAAAGTTGTTGCTTTATGGACAATACTGTAAAAGTATTCACTGAAATATGCAGCTTAAGGTAGAGACGAGCAAGCATATATACCCTTTGCACATTCTATACTCCTTCCAGGGTATTCAAATATGTTTTCAAAGTAAACAATGGCTGGATGGTATTTATGGCTTGCCAATAATTAAATATCCTTGAAAGTATGCAGCTCAAAAGAAATTTTATATCTATCTATTCCATAGCCACACATCAATTTAGAGTAAACAATAGCTTAAATGTCTATTGTGGCATTTCTTTATTAAGATTTCAATTCAAAAGGGAATTCAATTAGAAAATATATATAAAAGATTTAACTCAAGTTGCCAAAGCCAAATGATTATTGCAACAAAGAAAGAAGTCAAAGAAAAGAATTAAAAAATGTGCGTTTGGATTTATATTTCACATATAAACAATTTTTATACCCTGAACCCATTTTCAATGGGAAATCAGGGTATAATGGTTTTGTTGAAATGTATGTAACAGGGAGAAGGAGGCGTGGCAGACCCCACAAAGTATATATATTCTTGATCAGGGTGACGAGCTGAGTTGATTTGGCCCTGTCCGTCTGTCTGTCCGTCTGTCCGTCTGTCCGTCTGTCCGTATGTATGAACGCGTCGATTTCAGAAGATATAAGAGCTAGAGACTTCAAATTTTTTTAAAATGTCCGTAATTACAGCGCGCATATCAAGTTTATCATTAAAAATCGATAACTCATCTCGATCTTTTTTTATCGATAAAAAAGCTTATCGAAACCCAGTTATAAAATTATATCTTCTACACCATTATTGCTAGAGTCTCCAAATTTTTAATGTATGCTTATATGCAATTTATACAATTTCGGTTTTTGT